GAACCTAACGGGTAACGGATAACGGGTAACTCCGGCTCGACATGCAGGAGTAGGAACGGGGTGTTTTTTAGTCAGTAAGAGTCTGACACTAAGACGGGAGCATCATCAAATCATCTAATGACGATTTTTCCCGCTTAAAAAAAAACTACATATACAAATTATACCTATTGAGAAACCCAATAGTATTTCTTCCATCACAAAATCGAAGTGAAGACCCAATGAGAATACAAAGTAAACTTACGGACCATTTAGTACAAATATTTGTGATAGGCGTGTTGGCTACCGAAACAGATTTTAAAGCTTATCTATTGTATGCAGACTATCGGAAACCCGGTATGTTTCTCTTATCTACTGCACACAAATGCACTAGCCCTTAAAAATTACACACACAAACAAACAAAGTCATTACCAAATTAACGACGTTCAGGTGACGAAAAAGCATTTTGTAAACAAGTTCCATACTGTGCGGTCGCCTAACTGTTTAGTGATCGAAATTCTCTAGTAGTTATTATTAAGATAATATAACATCTGTGAAAAAGTACCATGTCCTCACCAACCCCGTCACCACCAAGCCTAGTTACTGATGGAGAGGACTCTAGAGACTCCACAATATCAGATATTTCAAATTCAAGTATACCTAAATTGGAGACTGTTCCTTTACCGCAGAAAGATGATTGCAAATCTTGTGGACTTACGTCACATGGCGTTGAAGACATATTAGCTGAAGGTGTCAACTATAACGTCCATGACAACGTATATTCTGAATGCAAGCCAGAAGACACAATATCTAACGCTTTTGTACAAGATTATAACTCAAGAGATTCCACAGGGTTTAGCATCCATGACATTCTTGGTTTACAACAATCCTACAATGCAAATCCTCGAGATGACTTAGAATCACGATATGAATATCATATGCCCAATTACGAAAATATCAGCAACAACTCCAACAACTATGGATCTGGAACTGAGGAAGTGATTTCCGAAGCATGTATTGAGAAAACTGACGTCTTCAGTCCAGCCGCATCGCACATTGCAAATCAAGTTGTTTATACCAGAAACTATGCTGTCAATGAAATTGTTCGATACCATGAAAGAAGTAATATTAACAACGAAGTTACTAAAGAACCTGCAAGAGATATCAATGATATTCATGATCCTAACTTTCCAACCCAGGTAAATGCCATAACAAACTGCACTCTATTGAAATAGACAAAAGAATGAAATTTTATGGCAAACGTCTGTATAGTGACAAATGTGATTTACCGCAAACCAACCGGATTCTTAATGACATTTTAATTTGTAGTAGTTAGTAGTAACTACAAGTACACAATTAAGAATTAGGTCGAACTCACCTTATTGCAGTGGTGCATTTGGTCAAAGCTAGACGTTTTATTATAAGTGTTTTTATATTATTCCAGAATTCTTCCTGGAACAGTAAGCCAGTTTCAAGTACAGCTGTTGGTAGCTCTGCGTCTTTAACAACATCCGGTAAGTTCAAATCGAATCTTTTTTAATTAAATTTTTATTTAACTTTTACTACAGTGTTTGTGATTATATATGCACTGAGAAAATATTTTATTTTCATTACTGTCTTCAAACTCTTCTCTTTCTTCTGGTATTCATCTATTAGAATTTAAAATTTGACTCAGTATCAGTATATTTTATGCTATGTATGTTGTGATCGATTAGGCTACCTTTGCTTTTGGTTAGACCCGTCCTCGGGTTTTTGAGCGTCTTACTACCTAGCAAGGCCTGTCATTCATGTTCGTTAAAAGTGCTATGATCAAGACTCGACATAGCCATGTGTGTTAAACACTGCCATTTTTTAGCGAAATTCATTCTAATCCTATATACATATGTTTTCCCAAAATACCCTGTGTATGTAAAAGTTATACAACTAAACAATTTTAAATAAGATCAAATTGATAGTTCAGTAAATAATTCTTCTATTTTTTGTTTTCAGAAATGTCAACAGACTCATCATATACTAAAGGATTTACAAAAAGGGCACGAACAGCTTATACGAGCTCACAGCTTGTTGAATTAGAAAATGAATTTCGTGAAACACGTTACCTCTGTCGGCCAAGACGAATTGAACTCGCCAATTATTTACAACTAACGGAGCGACAAATAAAGATCTGGTTCCAAAACAGGAGGATGAAATACAAGAAAGACAATAAACATAATAAGCCGTCCTCGTCAGTAGATGATAGCAGTCCTTCAAGCTCCAAAGAAATGTCACCAAATCGTGATCACAAGATGACTCATGGACGAAACTGTGGTGGACATGATCGACACAGGCGTCTTATGCCAGATAATAACGCAGCTCACCATAAAATTTATCTTCAACCGAACGACAGTATTCCTAGGCCACCAGAATACACTGCTATTAATCCATTGAAAACAATTTTAAAGGGGCCACAGAATACTGTAGAATTGCCGGCGTATACACCGAACTTGTCTTATCCAACATATTATCCAGGATTACCAAACAGAGCCACTTACTCACCGATGCCTGAGGTTTATCGATACGGCGATGACTCACTGCCACCGAATTCTAATACTCTGTCTACGTTGTCATCTGAAAGCTACGTGCCAAACGGTGCTAACATAAAACTAAATGATGATTTAGTACGGTTTGGCGCTGGGTCGTCTTACTATAATCCAATGCCAAGCGCTGTTATCCCTCCGACTACCGCAGACACCTATAGCTTTGCTCCAACTTTGCCGTCAGCATCGTCGACTACTTATGATGAAAATAGAACATCAAACTTGAATTTGGGTCAAGATCCGTACTTTTCATATTTGATTACTCCAGATCCTGCAAGTCAGCCTACATCTACAACGCCAACTAAATATTCTGCGTCTTATATATCTCTGTAGTTTTAAGGTATTGTTTTATTCACTACTTCTAATATTCTCTTTCTTTATTGTTTTAGTACTTTTCTGTAAAATCTTTATTATCTTTAGTATTTTTCTGTAAAATTGCAAAATAGAATTATTGAATTCTTACAATAATTTTAGTTTACTTATTAAATACTATCTTATTACTATATCAGTATCAAGGTGTATAAGTATTTTTTTTTATTATATTTGTATAAAAAGAGATTTTCGGTAGGTACAAAGCTAAAATTCATTTCTGCTGTGAATTTTTATTCATCTGTTCATGGTTTATATCAGGATTCATGATTATATGACACGATAAGTGCGTGAGTGTGTATTTTGTTCTTTTTACTCTTGTTTTTTTTTTATGATAATATTATTATCTAGTTATTGCATAATGTTAATTTGTTGTTATTTCATTTAGTTTAAGTACTATAACAATGTACGAGTTTGTGTATATTAAGCAGATTTTTAAATGATAGATTAATATATTTTTATACTTTCTTATAAATTTTGTTCTTTTAATTTCATCTCCTATCATGTAATATTTTTAAAACATAATTATATGGTAAAAATTTAATAGGTTTCTAAAGAAAAGTTCTAGTTCGTTTATTTTTAGATGTCCAATGGCCATTTTCACCAACCACAACTGAATTATATCTTAACCTTAGTTAGTAACTCTTAAATTACTTAGCGTGATAGACTTAAACGAACCCCTTATTAGGTGGCATCACGTGTCGCCTACAGGTCGATGGAAACTAGAATGTCGTTAAATGTCACCTACCTTAGCCTAGGGTTTTCCTAAAATGGTGAAAATGAACATCACACTGACACTGATAACTGAGGAATCGTAAATTGGTGTTATTAAAAATTATCACTCGAGCTACTCTGCCTTGATTTTACAAGCTTTTATTCAACTTGTATTTTTAACATAATTACATACTAATTAGAGAACATGGGTCTGAACGTACCCAGTTTGTAGCCAGTTGAAATTGGTGCCATTTGAAAGGTCTTTGAAAACTTAAATATTTTTTGTATGGGAGCAACTTTGTAACTTATATAGGAAAAAGATATTCGATGTTGAAAATACAGAAAATCCTTAGTAAAATCGACCCATGCACGTTAATTTTTTTTATATCTTATCTATATCTATCTTCGAGCTATAGGTATCTTCGAGCCGTAGCCCTAGTATGTTGCAGCATGGGCTAGTAACCGAAAACTGCTCTTTAATTAGAGATCGCATATTATCGAGGCACATGTCGAATAAAATATATTACATATTATATTTTAATCAAGGTTAATGTCCAGGGCAGAGAAGCCATCGAAGCGTATTATTGCTCTTGCATAATATGGTACTTAGGTGTTGGCACACCTAGATAACTTCGTAGGTCCGGCAAGTGCCTGAGATGATATAATCATTGGAAGAAAAAAAACTATACAATTGAATAATACTGTGGTAAATATTTAAGATTGATAGTTTTTATTTAATATTATTTCTGTACCAAAAATCAACGATAGGAAGCTAAATCGCTCTCTAAAGACAGAAAAAATGACTGGTGGCCTATTTATTTAGTCCAAAAAGCAGAAAAAGTGCGATTATTGGCAATCAATAATGTTACAAAGAAGTTATCATAACTTCGGTCTTTCATTCATTCATTCATTCGTTCACTTATTTTCGAGTTCTTCAATTAGGCCTCTTCTAAATTACATCTAGTCTAAAATTTACAAAGTGAGTACGGGTTCCATACAAAATTACCCATTATTCTTTATAAAGTGAAATCAACCGATTGTACTGAAATGTGTACATACACCTACATACACGTTCAATTTGTATGACAATAAATTAGTGTAATAAATGCTTTACAATTTACAATACTTACGTACAATAGACAATAGATATATGTATACGTCACGTCGTAGTAAGCATGGTCGTAGTCTATCTGCCAATTTCAATAACATAACTCAGTCTGTGAATTAAGTTCAATTTTTGACGGTACTCGATGCAACTAATGTCAAAAATTAATCCATATCCATAGATTTTGGTTTCTTTGGCCTGTAGTTGTCAATACTTTACGGTAGGAGTTAAATTTACGCGCCGACACCATGCACAGATACGCATACATACTTATCCAGTCAGTCGAAGAAGAGGTTTACTCACAGAATGAGGCTGAACGATGGAAATAAAAAAAGATCGGTGGATAATTTTGAAATAAAATCATTCAAAATATATTTGCGAGTTCAAAATCAAACATGGGCAATAAAACTGAGGTAAATTATCTTTTTTCATTTTCCGATATGTTTGATACAAGAATTGACAAAGGTCATACCTACATATTTGTAATACTCATTACTTTAAGTCTTTTAGGACCTCATTTCAAAGTCATCATTTTATGTATTTACCTAAAATGATGAGTATTACAAATATGTAGGTATAAAACGTAATCTTTTATGTATATGTATTTGTTTATCTTTTGCTGTATTGCTTTAATGACGTCCTGAACGAGTCATATACCAGGAACTCCAGTTATTGACGATAGTCTATCTAAATCAAATCAAATCACTTTAAACTGTCAAACACCGCGCGGTCACCGGTGACCGCAACCTATTGTTCTATAATTGTGTCTATAATGACTGTACTCAACGAGTTAATGCATCTATAGTGTGTACCAATACAGGGTGGTTTACAATCTACATTATTATACAAAATATGAATACGATTATTATTATGTTTGTCAGTTTACTCACGTAATTATTTGACGTACATCTCGGCTAGTTTCAAGCCATGCTAGAGGCTCATATTCATGAGCTACATTACGATTATTATGTTTTTAGGTTATAATGTCTTATTTTTGTTTTAGATTACCAGTCGAGAGAAGCAGCCCTTTCGCACAGAACTGTGGCCAAGACAATCAGCGCAGAAGATTAAAGGTTTGTATTTCTGTGATTTTTTTATAATATCTATTGTATTTTGGTGAGAAGTGTTACAGTTTACATTAAGTTACCCACAATGTTATTGTTGGAACTAGAACATATATTATTATGAACTAGTTTTCCATCCTACTGGATCCTAGGATGTCAGGATTACCTTCTCAATAAAATTTTAAAACTTACAATCTTTAGTAGTTCTTTAAAGCAACGCATAAAATACTTTTATAAGAACTATCGTCAGACATATTAAATTAACTAAAAATCGCGGGTTCCTCACGTGAATATACTGAGCCAGTAGGCTGCGCGACATCGCCGTCACCGTGCACGTTGCACATATTAATTAATAAGGAACAACATCTCTGTGGTTCAAAACTAGTCGAGCTTTTCTCAGTACATTCACGTGAGCAAACCGCGATTTTAAGTTAATGCTTAAAATTGTAAATTTCGCATACTTTATTTTTCTTTTCTATTACTGTTATGATACTATAAAATCTTTGTATACCATGTTTTTACGCAAATAACTGTCTTTATCTTTATCTTTATCTTTACTGACTTAAAATAATTAGTATTACAATGTTTACTTCTTACTACTTTTTGTCAGTGGGTTTGTCCGCATTCTGGTGAGATAAAAAGTAGCCTATGTGTTATTTAAGATCGCTTCAGCCGTATTGACTTGATTAAGTAAGAAACATGTACACAATTTTTTGCATTTATGATAAGACATAAATTCAAAAGAAGATAGATAAATAACATTTAGAATCATTCAAATTCGCAGATGTAAAACTAAATATCAAAAGAAAACCAAAACGAACACGTTATGCGTATACAGCAGATCAGCTAGCGATATTAGAAAAAGCATATAGCGGCTACAAATACATTAATCTCACAAATCGCAAAGCAATGTCTCAAGCTTTAAATGTCAATGAACAATGCATAAAAAATTGGTTTCAAAACAGAAGAATGAAAGAAAAGAAAGAAATCTTAATGAACGACAAAAATCGTCTGAACGAACGGGATAGTAATAAAGTTAATTTATCGTCGTCTATACCAAGATATGAAATCAAAATAAATGGCCTGAATCAAAAAACTGCCTCAACTGAAAACAAAAATGGTAACGATATCAAAACATATCTTCCAAGTCAATTTGCTAATTCAACCACCTGCGCAAATGATGGCGAATCGACTAATAACTGGAATCATTCCAATCAATCACCCGTCCACAGGCCTCATTTTCAATCACGCGAGGTACAGACCAATTGTAAATCTGGAAGTAATTCAGTTAATACTTCATTGCTTCCTAAACCTCCTTGTTCGAATTTAAGTAACGCTTCTGACTTCATAGCTAAAGAAGATATCAGTGAATTACTTACTGATTTGAGTCAGTTCATCCAAACCGATTCCGTTTGTTATTCTTCTTCTTCAAATCCAGGACAGAAGAATTATGAATTGAGTAATAGCTCAATTACTGGTTCATTACATCCTAGTTTTCAAAATGAAATCAGAATAAGTAATTCAAATTCATATAGTTCATCTGACGTCATTGCCACTGAAAATGTCAATGACTTATCTGTTAACTTTGGTCAGGTTTTTCAATCGAATACCTATTACGATCATTATCATTTAACTTCATGGGAAGAAGAAAAAGGATGCGAATTAGGCACTAGTTCATTATCTGCTGTGTTTGATAATGAAACCGAAAGATATAATGTTTATGCTAATAGCGTACCTAACTCAATTATTTGCGAAAATATTAACGAGTCACGTGTTAAATTGAGTCAGGAGAACCAATCCGATCTCGTTTATTGCAATCCTTATGAATATGAAGTACAGCAAAGCTATGCTCACAATTCTTATGATAACCATTATACATACTCAAACCATTCTTACCCATAACCCGTGAAATCTTTTACTTCTTAGGGCCTAGTGCGAGATTGACTTTACGTTAACGCGATAGTAACATCACTGCATTTAGCCCTGAATCGGCTGGTTAACTTGGCGAAGCCAACCAGTTCATGCAAAAATAAACGCACGTGAGAAAACGCGGATTTTAATTTTCATCAAAATGAGACCACGCTCTGATTGGTTGGTTCATTTGAGCCGGCCAATCAAAGGCCTTAGTACAAATTTGTTTCACGTTTAAAGTAATAGTAATGAGTACGTGTTCGGTGCTCTGATTGGCCAGCTCTAATGAAGTAACCAATCGGAGAGCTGAAGGTAGTCTTGATTCGATTATTTTTTATGTAAAACAAACACGTTCTAAGGCCTCTGAGCGCCGACCGCGATCTCATTTCAATTACTTTTAACGTATAACAAACTTGTACTAAGGCCTCTGAGCGCCGACCGCGATCTCATTTCAATTACTTTTAACGTATAACAAACTTGTACTAAGGCCTCTGAGCGCCGACCGCGATCTCATTTCAATTACTTTTAACGTATAACAAACTTGTACTAAGGCCTCTGAGCGCCGACCGCGATCTCATTTCAATTACTTTTAACGTATAACAAACTTGTACTAAGGCCTCTGAGCGCCGACCGCGATCTCATTTCAATTACTTTTAACGTATAACAAACTTGTACTAAGGCCTCTGAGCGCCGACCGCGATCTCATTTCAATTACTTTTAACGTATAACAAACTTGTACTAAGGCCTCTGAGCGCCGACCGCGATCTCATTTCAATTACTTTTAACGTATAACAAACTTGTACTAAGGCCTCTGAGCGCCGACCGCGATCTCATTTCAATTACTTTTAACGTATAACAAACTCGTACTAAGGCCTTTGAGCGCCAACCGCGATCTCGTTTCGATTATTTTTAACGTAAAACAAACTCGTACTAAGGCCTCTGAGCGCCGACCGCGATCTCGTTTCTATTACTTGCGTAAAACAAACTCGTACTAAGGCCTCTGAACGCCGACCGCGATCACGTTTCTATTACTTTTAACGTAAAACATACTCGTACTAAGTCGTCTGAGTGCCAAGCACAAATTCGGAAATGACATTCGGCGATTTGATTGGCCGGCTTCAATGAACCCACCGATCTGAGCGCCGAATGCTCTCGATACTATTACGTTACAAATGCGATAGTATTCGTGCTTGGCACTCTGTACTCGCACGCGTCTGGTGACGGCCAATGCGAGTGTGAGCATGCGCGGCGGGTGTTCAATTCTAATGCGCTAATGTCATGTGTAAATAGGTGTAAATAATATAAATTATACTAATTTAAATTAATCTCTAAGTATAAGTTATTTTAAGGAAATTAATATTATTAGATTTAGTTTTAGTTCATAACTTAGTCTAAATTACCTATTATTTAGATAGGTATATTTTTTTAAATTGATAATTATGGTTGAACTAATGTTAAATTATTGATTAATATTTAAATAATTTATTTATAACTATTGTAAGAACACTTATTTAAATATTTTAATTGTATAATGTAGATATTATTTTACACGTTTGTGTATATTTTATGAATATTAAAACAAATTTCCTAAGCTTTCTTTTCTTTGTCTTGTAATTATTTAAGATATGTCTGAAACTTGTGTAGATTGTTAAGTATTGTTAAGTATTTATATCTATTAAAATGTTATTTAAGTGTTTGATAATAAGTCAATACATTTTAAATTATAAGGAATATGTGTATTAAATGAATTTGTTATAATTTTTACTTTAATAAAGGAAATTTTGTTGTGTAACTTATTCGATTATTTATACAATAGAAATTTTGTTCTGTTAGTAAACTGTTCGAACTCTTCTTTTGAAGATTATCCAGGATTATAATGATATACGGCGGAAAGATAAACTTTTTATACGTGATAAAAGATCTGGATTCCTCTTTTGTCTTAAGAATAACTAAAAAAATTCAAATATTTTTTCCTCTGAACCGTTGTTTGTGTTTTCGTAATCTATTACTATTATAATATTACATCAATACATTTCTTCGAGTTTCGTTCTTCATTTTTCCTTTTACGCGGTGTAACATAGCCAAGCTATAGGGGACTCTAACTACCTAGCAATAGGGATTAATTTCATAAACTCAGTTAGTGGCTAATGTGCAATTACCCACTACCAGTATCCATTGTAGAAGTATACCTTTTTTGTCTTTGTCTAACCATACAACGTTGCTACCATCCGTACGTCACTGCATGGGTGCCCACTGAAAATCAGTGCTGGGTGACTTGTATGCCTGGCTTATACTGAGTGGGTGACCCTTTTAACATAGGCATGTTGTCAGCGTCTCTTTTCTAATTCTTATGTTTTAATTTTTCAATTCTTATATGTTTATTACTTCCACTGTCGTAACTTGATTGTCTTTTTATATTTTACTAGCGACCCGCCCCGGCTTCGCACGGGTGCAATATGCATGTATTATACATACAAACCTTCCTTAAGAATCACTCTATCTATTAAAAAAACCGCATCAAAATCCGTTGCGTAGTTTTAAAGATCTAAGCATACATACGGACATACAGCGAAAGCGACTTTATTTTATACTATGTATTGATTTATGCTGCATCGTGCTTGGTGCTAAATAAATGTTTTTTCTTTCTTCCTTTCTTTCTCTTTCACTACAATGTCATACTATTTTTACCCCGTAATAGGAACCGAGCAGAGCATGTAAAACCGCAGATGGATAGCTGTTGTTTCATAGTAATGGTACCATGGAACTGGTTTCATGCCGAAATTGGAAGGAAGGTGGCTGATGGAACCTTGGGATATGTATTAGTAAATATTAAGTTTAGGCTCATGTCCATTTCTTCGGTATCGGTGATAATTATATTTATAACTAGCTTCTGCCCGCGACTTCGTACGCGCAATCCCATTTTCTCCCGTTCCCATAAGATTTTCAGGATTTCCCATAAGATCATAAGAACCTTCTCCTGACAGTAACAAACACAACAAAAAAATCACTCAAATCGGTCCAGCCATTCTCTAGTTATGGTGTGACAACGGGAAATGCTTTTCATTTATATATACTTCTAATTAGATGACTATTTTTGAAATATAAATTAATTGTGACGTCATTTTGTAATTATGTTACTTGTTTTGTAGATTGAAGGTAATTAGGACGCAAATGACCTGCAGATAATTATGTTAATTACAAATATCATAAATATATCATATGCATTTCACATTTTCGACTGTAGTTTAGTACGCTCGTTTAGTTTAATCTCTCACTACGTCGTTTCGAGTAGGTCTTTTGTGCCCAGTTCATTTTAATTTTAATCAGATAATTTTTGCAAATATGTTCTTTACGTTTGAGGTTGTACTCAGTACTTGAAGTTCAACAGTATTTTAATATGAAATGTAAAATTAAACATCTTTTTATTATTGTAATTTCTGATTACATTGAGTGATCGTGTTTGGGGACTCCTTTTAAACAAGATGTGCATGTGTTAGGAGACCCCGGTCTTCCACAATAATTTTGACAATAAGTAAGTATAAAATATTTACTTACTTTCATCCCTGCATCATCTGTCGACAATGTTAGATAGTGTTTAAGGCATTTAGTCAAGTTTTAAATAAAATGAAGAATTCTTCAAAAACTAAATTAGCCTTAGTTTTAACCTACTTGATTTTAGGCGTAAGCCCGAAGCATGTTGTGGATATAGCTGGGGCAGCGCGCCTTATCGTGATCCGTAAGCCAGTCTAATGCCAACCCGCGATGGCATCGGACGCGCGTGTAATTGGTACCTGTTACGACATAAAATTCGCCGCAAGTGATGGAACTATTAAAAAATGTGAGTATATATATATATTATTTGATAATGATGAAAATTGATTTGACTGCACGGTTGGCGCGATAGCTGGGCAACTGGCTGGCGCACAACGTGTCGTAGGTTCGATTCCTGCACCGAAAAACAGATTGTTGTTCCGGGTTTAAGTGTCACGTGTATGTTAATTTGTGTTTGTAATCGCACTCACGACACTGGAGAAAATCCTAGTGTGGAGTAAAATGTTTTTTAGTAAAAAATAAATAAAAACATATTGACATTCTGTCCAGTTTACAGAATTTTACAAAAACGTTTTTATACAATACGGCCATTTTCTGTTTAGTTTCAGTCATATTTATGTTTAGTATTTTCATTTTAAAATTAGCTTCAAGGTCATGTTTCTGAGAATATGACATACGTATATCAGTATTATAAAAGTATTTAATAGGTTATAGAACAAGCTCTAGAGGCCGTTAATATGTGATTAGTTAACTTTGTATAATCCCGAGGGCGAACCAATGTTTCAATTTGAATTAGATTGGTGATTCAGGTGTCCATGAGCGACGCCGATTGCTTGCCATCAGGTGATCCATCTGCTCATTACCGACTTATCCCATAAAAACACAACTGTTATGGGTCCGACCAAAGCTGATGGTTTCAATTTATACCTAAAATATCTTATTTCTAATACAGATTTACCATATGGAGGATCAGTCATTTCAAACACTTCCAGGAGATAAGGTAAATGATTTATTCATTTTTATGTAGTACCCACATCACTATTATAATTACTCGACGAGTGCTGACTAATAAAATGGCCCTAATATTAGGTGATAACTAATACTTACCTTATATTAATGTTGTGTTACCGTCTGAAGTGATAATTAGCCTGACTGCTAATTAAGTTTTGAATTCAATCTATTTATAAAAATATAGTATAGTGTATAGTGCGCAGGAAGTTAAATTATTAACAACTTTGTAATTTTTTCAGAGGGCCGCAGGTCAAGCAACTCTTTTCTATCAAATGTCTTATTAAATTTTAGACTTTACTGTTTTAGTACATACAAAGTTGAAAATCGAATGAAAAAAAAATTACTTGACGGTGTCTGTGCCGTCGTTTTGTAACTTTTTTAATGTTTGTTATAATAAATTGTGTTGTATAATGTTCACAGCTACGAGCGGGTGACACCGTGATATGATTATAATGAAAAGCACGCACGAGATTAAGATACGTTCACGAGAAGTGCGCGCTTTGCGTGAGCATGAACAGTACCAGCTGACGACAATGAAGTGACGATATCCACGAAGTGGCTAGTAGTAGTTGGATGCGTAGAGCTGAAGATCGAGCTCAATGGCGTAGCATTGGAGAGGCCATGTCTAGCAGTGGACTAGAACAGGCTATTGTTGATGATGAGCAGTACATTTGCCACATACGCACGCATCGTAACATAGGTAACATTAATTTCCATTGTGTGATTACTGACTCAATGTACGTATAGTTTTTTACCTAAAATTTTACACGTGTCATCTGATGGTAGCAATCGGCAACGCCAGTGGAATCTTACAACACTATAGAAATTACAGATGATGATGATGAGGTACGGCGAAACCGTGCGAGTGAGGTAAAGTCCCTCTACTAAAACGCGACAATGCAACCATTATTTCACGCCGGTTATCTCTGAGGCCGTGATATCACTCAGGTCCATTAACAACAAGTACAGTTATGTAAGTTTGTTTGGTTATAGCTTAGAGAAAAATGGGTATATAATTGTGAGTACCTAACATGATATTTTGACACTATGTTTTCTTTTTTTTTCTTGAATGGCAACCGAGTCTCCAAAACAGTGTAAACACTATGTTTTCAATTAATTTTAAATTACAGAGCACCAGTATGGAGAGGCACATTTCAAACATTACGACATGAAAGAATCTCGCAAATGAGGTAAATTATAAATTTATATTTTGCAACGTCTATCGTTTTATATTTTCTTATCCTCATCTAGTAATTTAACGATGTAAACGTGTAAAAAAGTGTGTATAACTTTGCAATCTATTTGCAGAAATAAGTATTATTTATTTCATCATCATTTCATTTCAAGGACTGTGAAAACGAGCCGTCAGTCTCTTGATACAACGACTGTGGCACCTGGCTACTGTAGAATTACACGCTGGACATAACCACGTTGACACGAAGGACATCTTTCGTTTTCTTAAACGTCTGGTAACGAGGTAACCCATTGCACACGCTGACATAAAAAAACCTCTGACATTTTGGTGCTTTAATCATTTCTAAGTGACATTATGTCCACATTTTTTTCAATGTCCTTGTTGGTATCCATTTTAGCGTCTGATTACCTATGAGAAGTTTAACTTAAGTGTAACTTGTTTGTTAGCTTACTATAAACATAATTTAAAACTTTACACTCACAATTTTCACATAACTTCTGTGATTACTTGATGTTACATCGAAATAAATTGAAATATCGTGGCGTGTCGCCATGGCTACCAATCGGCTGCAAGTATTTTCGTTTTGTCGACACACGTGGCACGACATGCACGTGTGTCTCGAATCATTGTAAATATAATATCCTATATACCTACTGATATGCTTCAGATGCGACTCGACACACTGCGTCATGCTAATAGGCTTTATCACCTATAGGTCACCAGAAATATTTCTAGCTTTAGACTCGACCCATGTAATGAATCAATAATAAAATAATTTGAATATTGTAATGTCCAAAATAGTGTCGTTGTTAATATGATGTATTTATTTATTGATGTTTTGTTAACATATTTTATTTTTTTATTACAGAGTTACAGTATTGGACAGGAGTGCCCGGCCGTTATCACAACTGTGGCTGAAAATCCTACCACAAAATATTCAAGGTATGTAGATAACTTTATTAATGAACACTAATACAGATTAGTTCTACCCATGAACACCGGTAACACCTTAGGAAGGAGTCATAGATGCGTTGCCAGCGTTTTAAGAATAAATTACATTTATTTCTTGAACGTTGTAAGTACCATTGACGATAGCTCAACCACAATTTTTCCCGTATGATACGTTTTCACTTGCACCCCACCACATATTTCAAACTGGTTTTATATTCTGAATTCATCAGCACCAAAATTGTTGATATTTAAATATTGTGTGGCCATTATAATTTGTTAACTGGTCATTATCGTTAATACAACAAGTTATTTTATGTTTACTCACATTAATAAATAACTTCTTTGAAGTATAAGTATAAGTTTAGCTATTGTATAAACCTTAGGTAGTTGAAAAGAATTCCAACCATTGTCAGGCAATGAATTAGGTATTCATTTTTTACATTTATTCAATTCGTTAAAGTACTTTAAAACTATATTGACCTGACCGACATAAAATATTAGTATGTGAAATATGAATACTATGTTATAAGGAGATCATTTTATTCGTTCACATTCTTAATTATTTATTCATTTAAATAAATAAAATGTTTCAATTTTTACAGACTGGAAAATACATCAGAAAAGCCAAGAAAAACTGAGGACAGTGAATCAATTAAATTGGTAAGTAAAGATAATTTACAAACTCCTCTACGCGTTTAATTAGTTAAAAAATAAATTATTTAAAAGTATTTTATATTTTGAAATTATTTTGTATTAACAAGAATACACACATCGAGCTATATAAAAGGCCAGGTTATCATGGTCTCGCACTATATAATCTTTCTACACAATCGACGGTCGCCTTATACTGGTTTAAATAGCTGTAGCCGTGTGCAATATTTGTAATAAAGATGAGCAAGAAGAACAAGTATTTTACAGTAACTTTGTATATTAATCTGTCGAACAAAAATAACAATTAAATAATATTCTAACAAGTAATGGTAAATTGATTGACAATAACAGGTAAACATTTGATTAATCGCTAACAAACCGCTGTGTAAATTAAAAGCTATACTTCTGTATGTATGTACATATTTATCTATGCCATATATCACATAGCTATAAGCAAGATGACATATTAAAACTGACGTACATACATACATAGGTATTGCATCTTCCTAAAGGAATCTTCTTGCAGAACAGCGACAAGAAAAATAACAAACAGTGTACTCACACCAATCAAATTTATGAACAAAACAAAACTTAGGTACTACTTAAATTATTATCACAGGGAATACATATTAACCTCTTGTCTGTCGATGTATGGAGACACAAAAGAAAACGCATTGTGTATCGCGTAGATCTACGTTCCGACATACCGGAGGCTAAACTATAAGAGACAGTTTATACGGGCGTAGGATCGAAGTATATCGAAGCGAAAATCCAACTAATGTCGTCTCTCATAAATTAAAACTTATGATCATTGAACCTTCTGTGTAATTCAAATGTATGTGTAAGAAAGCATACGAATGCGTTCATTAACGAGCCTGATTTGGATGAATTTTCACTTCTATACGCTTCGAATGTATACCGGTATAAATTGACTCTTTTACTTACAATATAAATATTACTGTAAAGAAGCCAGCTCCTACCACTTGTATAAATATTTTAATAATCTCTGATGAATGTTGGTAGTTACTTAAAATACTAACATAGATAAAAAATTGGCCTTTACATTATAATATATTTTTTTAATATTTATACCTTTATATCAGGCATCTAAGGCACATTCGAAACAAAACACAAATACAATTACAATATCACGTAACCTGCCGTGAAAATGTTGGTAGACTCTGCTTTTAGGGTTTCCACGAAATCTTTGCTTTGAAGAACTTGTCGAGATATTAAGTCGGAGCTTGCACCTCAAACGACACGTGACGCGATTCTAACCTTGAGATCCTCAAGATCGATTTGATCTTCACCTGCATATACTCAACCTTCGTGAAATTGTGAAGTAAGGGCACATACAGCAACGTCGGAGTCACAACTGGACACAGCAGCATATTCTTCATCTGCACTGTGATGAAGCCATCATTATCACATTCTGGCTTGATTGGCTCATTCATGAAGATTTTGTACTAGGGGTCTGTATCGGTACAGCAGTAATAATATATTGAACATTTGAATCTTTTTGTGGAAACGTATAGGGAACTTGCATCATTAACTGTCTAATATTAGGATCACAGTGCCAACATCTTTTTATTACAATATTATCTTGAGATGATACATCATTGACTACCGAAGAACTTGAAACAGATATGGAAGTACCAGTTGGCATAATAGGCACAGCCATTTGATTCCAAAAAATAGGGACGTAGGATTGGGAATCAAACAGTGGATTTGTTGGTAGTGATGTAAATCCAGTATCATTAGAAGTGGACCCAGGCATTGCTACATGTTCATTCGTTTCCTTGTTTACTGATAAATCTTCCGGCTGTGTTTGTGTTGTCTTCATTGACAGATTTTTCTTTGATTCATCTAGTTCCTTCTGATTCGGCTTTTCGTTGTTGACTGTTGTGGAAAGATTGTTGGCATGGCATTTTTTACTTGCGTCTAGTGATTGTTCAGTTTTTGTTTCCTTAGACAATGCGTCAGTAATTGGACTATCTATTTTAGTTGCAGCCACTACGCTTTCAGTGTCTGGAGTCGTTGCAAGCGCAGAATCAACAGGTTGATCCATTTGTTCATTGAGTGTACATGTTGAATGATTTGTTGTTGCATTTTCATCGGTTTTTTCCCTATTTGTAACTATTTGTGATTCTGTTGGTTCGTGATTTGGAGATTTAATTACACTGTTTAATAACCTTTTACTATATTTGGTATAATCTGTATGTCTATATTGTTCACTTTCAAAGTGTTGACCACCATTTTCTCGTTTTTCTTTCATCCGCCGATTTTGATACCATATTTTGACAGCTCTTTCAGTAATATTTAACTCAGTAGCTATTTCTTTCCGCTGATCATTTGTGATATAAGGACATTTTTTGTATTTCTTTTCCAGGTAATTTACTTGGTCTGTTGTAAATGCGCTTCGAAACCGTTTCACCTTTTTTTTAGCACCATGCTGCTTGTGATTCACTTGATTATCCATCTGTAACTTAAAAAGGGTAGAACATTTTTATTTTTCAAATATTCCATCGTACTTACTCATATATTTTACTATCAATGATTTATCTAACTACTTCATTATTCATAGCTGAGTATAAGTACAATGAGCAAAAAAATTACATAGTTCTCATCATAGGCCTGTAACTGTCTCACTGCTAAAAAAATATTTCTTCTCACGTGAAAAAGGAAAGAGCATTAACTCGTCGAGTACCGGTTTTGTAGACACAATTATAGAACAATAGGTTGCGGTCACCGGTGACCGCTTGGTGTTTGACAGTTTAATCACCACGCTTGCTCAAGGCATATTGACGATTCCAAACGTATTTTAAATTATAAATTCATTCAATGCTCTCTAAATTGATTTAGAACGAACTTGCAAAAAGTCACATTAATAATACGCACTCGTGCTTGAGGAGTCTTAAATTCAGGGCCACCATAACCACTATAAAGAGCAACAACTATTACCATAGCCACAAACAACCAATACCAACACCATAGACACCACAACTTAGAGCCGATCTTTCCAACGTCAGATATTGTATCAGAGGAATAACTTTAATATTTGACATTTCTTCCATATAAATGTCAAGTTTACTACAGTTAAGATTTATCAGTTAATTGAAAAATCGTCCCTTTTAGACGCAACTATTATGTCCCATAGGTAGCAAATATTATAGTATTATTTGAACTTATGGCCTTTTTATAATAAGTACCTACATATCGTGTTATTATTTCTTTGACTGGAACAACCGATATTCAGCAGCATCTTATAGCTGATATACTGATGATGATGAGTAACTGAAATAATGTAGGTATGATACGCTCTTCAACACAAAAATAAAAAGTATTAAAGGATTGAACTTCATTTTTGAATATTTTTCTAAAATAAGATATTTTATGAAGGTGCGCAAAGTATAATAATATTATTTATTTTTTGTGTAATCTACCTAAACTATAATTTGTTTAAATTACACATATTTACTAATAAATGTAATATATTAATTGATATCTTCACTCTTGCGGAAATCGAAAAAATGGTATTTTTGTGATTGACACAATTTCTCCACTTATTACACACACACACTTATACACGGTTATCGGTTACAAAATTTAGTAACTTCGAAGTTGAATAGACAAATATAAAGTAATACTTACAGTGATATTTTCTTTTCCAAAATTTTCAGTGTGTTTTCGAAAATTCTCACTCGCGCGATTTCCAAGATAGACCTGATACCTCATGATAATATCTACGCACACACACATATACACCCGGGTGCAAGCTACGGACACTAGGGAATAATTGATCAGAAACTCCTGACTGATGCAGTCTATATATAGTAAGCTCAATAATAATTGTTTAATTACAAAATTAAGGGGCTGTTATCACCGTTAGGCACTACGTTAATTAACAGCCATTTATTAACAAACTAAGGCAGGTCATGGCGGTCCTCGCATTGATGACACCCGGGCGTTTCCTCCTGCCCCATCAGACACAGGTACCTCCTGAAACTACCATATCCGGTGAGGACTTGCGTCAGCGGTAGGTGAAGACGCCGTAGCGTCTGTCAAGCCACTCCTCCAAGAGGGGCCTTACCGCTGCAATGGCAGCGAGCCCAATATAATTCTCTAATTATAAGTTTGCCACATGTTTTGATGTGCACCAGCTTTATATTAACTTCTAGATACGTTTAGTACTCTTAACTTGCAACACTGGCGCCACATTGCATCCATATTGGGGGGATATTAAATAAACTAAATGGATTTTTATCTGTATTCTGGCCACTATTTTGACAGCTATAATTAGGATTGTATTGTAAATAACTATAGAGATCTTTTTGGATTGGCTTTAAACTAACATTGATTGGTAATTGCTAGTCGTGTTCCTTTGAATGTGTTAATGATTTATGTAATGAGAAGGCATTTATTTAGGGCCATAATCACTAGCAAATAAATACATTATGTTATGGTTATGATAATTACACATTTTCATCTTTACGTTTATGTTTTAACTCGTCGAGTACCGGTTTTGTAGACACAATTATAGAACAATAGGTTGCGGTCACCGGTGACCGCTTGGTGTTTGACAGTTTAAAGTTGAAATTTGATTGAAGCAATTTGAAAGTATGAAGCTTAATGCTCTCATGGACAACATTATATGATAATAAATGTATTGTAAGTATTTAAACTTTAACTTATCAATAAGTTCATATATTCTTTAAGCAACGAGACGTTCTCTGCCGAACATAGGCTTTGCTCTCAGTATTCTGGTATTACTTAAGTAAGTAGTTTGGTAATTAATGGCTGCTAATTAACGTAGTGTCTAACGGTGATAACAGTCCCTTCATTTTTTAACTAAGCAATGGTTATTCAACTTACTATATATAGACTGCATCAGTCAGGAGTTTCTGATCATTTATTCCCTAGTGTCTGTAGCTCGCACCCGGGTGTATATGTGTGCGTGTGTAGATATTATTTATTTATTTAAACTTTAATTTACACACAAACAAGTAATGGTACATAAAGCGGACATTAATGCCATATGGCATTCTCTCCCAGTCAACCTTAGGGTTAAAATGGAAATCGGCGAAAAAATAAATATTATCATGAGGTATCAGATCTATCTTGGAAATCGCGCGAGTGACAATTTTCGAAAACACACGTGAGAATATCGGGAAAGAAAATATCACTGTAAGTACTATTTTATATTAGTCTGTTCCACTTAGAAGTTATTCAATTTTTTTATCGATAGCGAAATTTTTAAATGTAGCTTTATGGTACTTAATTAAGTGCAGAAGTCGTGTGAATCACAAAAATACCATTATTTCGATTTCCGCAAGAGTGGAGATGTCAATTAATATATTACATTTATTATTAAATACATTTACATACATACGCATCCGATATGATAAACACGATAATGATGAGGAAATTTTTTTTTTGATACCTTATTATAGCTTATTTATTTATTATTACCCTTTTTTAAGGTGTAAATATTTTAGTTCATAGTTATTTATATTTTAAGTTGTATATTTTTTCATTTAGTTATAGTTAATATTAATTGTATATATAATAAGTATGTATTTTCAAATGAAAAACTAAAAATACATTTAATTTAAACAAATTACAGTTTAGGTAAATTACACAAAATGACATGATATTATTATATTTTCTACAACATGAGTCATAAAATATCTTATTTTAGAAAAATATTTAAAAAATAAATTCAATTGACGACCGACACAGCTGATACGACAAATACGGCAGACGCGACCAATACGATAGACACGACAGATACGACCGACACGACAGATACGACCGACACGACCGATATGACCGACACGACCGATATGACCGACACGACCGATACAAAAAATACGACAGACACGACAGATACGACCGACACTATCGATACGACAGATACGACCGACACTACAGATACGACAGATACGACCGATACGACAGACACGACTGATACGATAAACACAACCGACAAGACCGATACGACAAATACGACAGACGCGACCAACACGACCGATACGACAGATACGAACAACACGACCGATACGACAAATACGACAGACGCTTCCGATACGATAGACACGACAGATACGACCAACACGACCGATACGATAGATACGATAGATACGACCGACACGATAGATAAGACTGACACGACCGATACGACAAATACGATAGACGCATCCGACACGATAAACACGACCGATACGACAGACGCGTCCGACACGATAGATACGATCGACACGACAAATACGATAGGCGCGTCCGACACGATAAACACGACCGATGCGACAAATACGACAGACGCGACCGACACGACAGATACGACAGACGCGACCGATACAACAGAGACGACCGATACCATATACGATAGACGTGACAGACACGACCAATACGACAAATACGACAGACGCGACCGACACGACAAATGCAGGCAGGTAAGGAGTAACATAGGTATACTATTAGTTTAGAAAAATGCAAACGAAGTTGCAGGTACAGCTAGTTGATATGTATTTTATTATGTTTTGGATCTGTTACGTATTTGATGCAAAAACATTATATTATCATAACATCTTTAATTTCTCATAGAATAAAAGTGAACATATCCATTGTATTGTGAAGAAAAGATATTTTTCCTATGTGTTGATGCATATAATCATCAGCTGGAAAACGTCTACAGTTACAACGGCCTTCCCATACACTTGCGTAGGCGACTGGGCATTTGAAACCACAAATTACAAATACACATCTGAACAAATTATTATTTCTTGTGGGTTCACATAAATTACATTTATGGCGCACTCACCACAAATCAACTGATTTTTCTGCCTCTTTGTTCCTCATTTATCATACTATCAATTAAACCAATACCTGTACTCGATACTGTACTTTCTTTTTTATTTCCATTTAGAAATTGGATTGTATTAGTAAATTAAAAACATATATTATTATTGCCATAATGAATCTTAAAGTCATAACGTAATTACTCAAAGTAAGTTTTTGGGTGTACATTGAATTTGATTAATTTATGACATAGTCATTATTTATGTACCTATAAAATGAAACTTTTCACCTGCAGTCTTTTTAAAGAGATATCGCGAATTGTTATTACTTAACGTTGATAACTTATGATAATTCTCACGTAGATTAGATTTCTAAGTATTATACCTCTACAATTCTCTAAGTGAGAATTGTAATAATAATATTTTAAATAAATAAATAAATAAAAATTTTATTATTAGACGCTGGCATGAGTCGCGGTGGTCTGGAGATTTGAGACGTCCGCTTCTCGTAATGTAATGTGATCCATATGACCCATCCATGCAACTAATGGTTGTTTTTTCTAATTCCAGGGACATTGCCGAGGGCTGGTAGCGGAGGTCATCAGCACTCCACGAGACTATGATTCACCAGCACTGGACTATTTAGATAATTGAAGGAGCCATCACGTTTCCACAAACCTTAACTAATAAAATGTATTTTTAATATAATTTTTCATTTGTGTATTGGTTTGAAATATTACTATGTAACGGCAGAACCCAACGACGACATTAAAGGTAGAAATACAATACAGCAGTGTGACGTATCGTAGCAATGTACCATAGTTAATATATGAAACCGATATATTTCTAGCACATTACGACACGTCAAGCAAAGCATTTTTGCCTCTATCATTAAATTTCTAAAGACGAGTAAAACAATATGTAGACTAAGGCGAGCCCAAAATGACTCATCAAGCTTTTTATTTGTACATATCAAATTAATAACAATATGTCGCAGGTTCAATTCCGGCACAGAATACCATTTTTTTGTAGATTTATAGTTCCAAAATATAGTGAGGTGTAACGTTTAAAATACGACTATTACTAATAACTCGTTAGTACTGTAAAAAATGCGACGTAGTTGTTATACCAACTCGATTAATTTATACGGTCCCTATTTAAGAATCCTTCAGTCTTTAAGTTTACGTAATTAGCCTCTTAACTACTTTTAACAACAACAGAAACTGAATGCACGGTCGCGTAGGCACGATATAGTCAATAATTATAGAACATTCAAGTTGAGTTTCTTTCAATTAATTACCTCCATTTTACTAATTAATGTACCTACTTAATAATAATATGATAAAGCATAAACAGATCGTCCATCAGTAATAACTTTCACTTGCAAGGTGCATTCTTATTAGTGACAAATAAGGTGCGGTTACGTAGGTTGCGAATATTTTAGATATTTTCTGTTTATGGCTGTTTTTTTATAATGAAGCTTCAAGAACCAGGTACTTTGGTTTGGCTATTAAAGGACAATGGGTCTACGACTCGTAAAAAATTACATTTTAAAAACTCCGTAGTAGCAATCTTTATTAAGGCTTTTAACTTAATAGTTTAGTTTAACAGTAACATAGACTGAAAAATCCCGATAACTTTTTCTTAATATTAAAGCCAAACATGTATAAAGTGACTGGCAAATACCAATTTCTGCGAAAATTTGTGTATTACTAAGTTACAAGCCTGCTACGCCCGCGTAGACCATGCTACGCTTACGTAGACCATGCTACGCCTGTGTAGACAATGCAACAATAATTTTACAGAAATCTATGTTTGGTAATATAATCTATGTTTGGTTTTTTTTTCTTGAATCCTTCATCGGAACCTATTTACGAGTGATTCAGATATAAAATGATGCTATCAAGTGTTACAACAGTTGACGTATATAATACACAGCTACAATATATCAAGTTATAATAACCATTATAAAATGACTGTCGGATGTATGAAAATCCTTACTTCCTTACTAATATTATAAATCGGAAAGTGAGTTTGTTTGTTTGTTTGTTCCGCTTTCACGCCGTAAATATTAAACCGATTACTTTGAATTTTTGCAGACGTAAAGTTAGAAGTCTGGATTAAATAATAGGGTACTTTTTATTTCGGAAAATTTTGATATTCTCGAGGAAAAATGAAATCATTGGTATAGATGGCGCTGTGTGTATATGTCACATAGGCTACTTTTTATCCTTTTGTGACGCGAGCGAAGTCGCGGGTTAAAGCTAGTATCATATAAATCTAGACCATGATAAATTGATTTTGTACAGTTTGGTATGTATGTACATAACACCCAATGCAAATAACGTAGATACTAGCAATGACAGAAAGTAGTATTAAGTATGTTTTCTAAAAAATGCATATTTTATTTTACAATTAAATACATCGATGAGTATTTCGATTTTTATTTAATAATCCTCTAATAACTTTTCACTAAATGCATTTCCAGTCGTCAAGTAAATATTTTAAGACTAACATTTTAATTACGATTCTTTTTTTTAATTTTAATTATGACTCTTTTTCTAATGCAACGAAACCACCGTCATCTATAGGCGCCGCAGTAGCAGCACAACTGATTGCAACGCGACGTGTCAAAAATTCTGCACATATGTATGATGTACATGTATGTGAATCTGTAGGTATGTTTATAAACGCACCCACGACGCCGAGGAAAGTGTTAGAGTGGGAGCAATATCTAAAAAAAAAAATAACTCGTCTATTCGTCGTCGCACTATGAGGTATACCTCATAGTGCTTATATCAACCAATTTATATTAATACTATATTCATTCATTCATTATAAATATACTTTTAGTTTTGTTGAATAAAACGAATATTATTTTGTATAATTTGTTAAAGTATTAAGTACCTTTTCTTCCTAAAATGTACACCTGGTAACAAAAAAATGCATTCACTCCTAGCTGTATATACCTATGTTATAAATAACCTAATAATTATTTCCTTTTGCCCAGAAAGTATTTAATATTATGTGTAACTGCAAATAATCCACTCAAGATATGAAAAATGTGAGTAATCAAAGAAAAGAAACAAAGTCATGGAAAGACAAAAAAATACTAAAGGAACTTGATGTGTATTTACTCCCGACTGTTAGCTTGTTCCCAATTTAGAATAGCAATAGACAAATAGACTTCAAACGAAATTCACAAAGAATAGAATTATTATTAATAAATAACTACCAACATTTAGTTCATTATAATTATGTACTGTAAATATAAGAAATAATCTTAACATATTTAAACATGTCACTTAAAAACATAAAACATAAAAGGTTTTAAACACAAACTATCAATTTATTGATTTACTATACTGGGACGACAAAGAATTCATTCTGAAATTGATACGAACGAAAATGAACGAAAAAATATTTGAGAATTATTTAACAGTGTTATAAAAAAATCGTGAATGTACTAAGGCTTTTGAAGAGGTACAGGAAAAACAAAGGCTTAAGGTGCATTTTGTTGTGGCAAACCTTGGTGAACTTGCTGTTGCGGCGTCGATTTTTGTTCTTCATGACATTCACACTTACATAGTTCTGAAGGCATACACATGTGCTGCATTAAAGACGGTGGTATTGATATCGGTACGCCTAAAGGCATTATTCCTCCCATAGGATTCCAAACACCAGGAACAAAGGCCTGCGGATAAAATGGACGAACCATTGACATAAATCCAGGATTATTCAACACAGCCTGAGGAACCGCCACAGGCTCATTCTTTTTACTTGTTTGTGCCCCAGGCGTATTCATTTGTCTATTTGGTGTTACAGGTGCATTCATTCTATTTGTATATGCCATAGGTGCATTCATCGCAATAGCATGTGCCACAGGAGCATTCATCGCAATAGCATGTGCCACAGGAGCATTCATCGCAATTGCATGTGCCACAAATGCATTCATACTATTAGTATGTGTCACAGGTGCATACATCGTACTAGCATGTGCCACAGGTGCATTCTCCTTACTAGTATATGCCATAGGTGTATTTACCCCACTAGTATGTGCCTCAGGACCGTTCATCCTACTAGTATGTGCCACAGGTGCATTTACTCCACTAGTATGTGCCACAGGTGCATTCATCCTACTAGTATGTGCCACAGGTGTATTCATCCTACCAGTATGTGCCACAGGTGCATTCATCCTACTAGTATGTGCCATAGGTGTATTCATCCTACTAGTATGTGCCACAGGTGTATTCATCCTACTAGTATGTGTCACAGGTGCATTTATCGTACTAGTATGTGTCACAGGTGCATTCATCATGCTAGCATGTGCCACAGGTGCATTCTCCTTACTAGTATATCGCACAGGTGCATTTACCCCACTATTATGTGCCACAGGACCGTTCATCCTACTAGTATGTGCCACAGGTCCGCTATTCGTACTAGAATGTGCCACAGGTGCGTTCATCTTAGTAGTATGTGCCACAGATTGGTTCATCGTACTTGTATATGCCACAGGTTTGTTTATGCTACTAGTATAGGCCACAGGTTCGTTAATCTTACTAGTATGTGCCACAGGTTCGTTCATCCTACTAGTATATGCCACAGGTTCGTTCATCCTACTAGTATGTGCCACAGGTCCGCTATTCGTACTAGTATGTGCTACAGGTGCATTAATCTTAGTAGTATGTGCCACAGGTTGGTTCATCGTACTTGTATATGCCACAGGTTTGTTTATGCTACTAGTATAGGCCACAGGTTCGTTCATCTTACTAGTATGTGCCACAGGTTCGTTCATCCTACTAGTATGTGCCACAGGTTCGTTATTCGTACTAGTATGTGATACAGGTGCATTCATCCTAGTGGTTTGTGCCACAGGTTCGTTAATACTACCAGTATGTGCCACAGGTTCGTTAATATTAATAGTATGTACCACAGGTTCGTTCATCCTACTAGTATATGCCACAGGTTTGTTCATCCCACTAGTATGTGCCACAGGTTCGTTCATCCGACTAGTATATGCCACAGGTTCACTCACGCTACTAGTACGTGCCACAGGTACGTTCATCCTACTACTATCTGCCACAGGTTCGTTTATCCTACTAGTATGTGCCACAGGTTCATTCATTCTTGTAGTATGTGCTACAGGTTCGTTCATTGCACTAGTATGTGTCACAGGTTCATTCATGTCCCAATCTATTTCCACAGGTACATTTGTGTTCCTGTTTTGTGCTAGATGTTCCAGTTGCGACTGTTGCGAGGACAAATTCAATGATTCCCGGCATTCCCTTATTTCATCTTCGTCCTTTTGACTCGGCTTTTCATTGTAAATTGACTTTGATAAGAGTTCATTGTATTTCTTGAATAGCTCAATTGATAGTTCGGCAGATGATTTTGGATGTGATGATAATTTGTCAGTATTGATAAATATGGAAGTAGGATGATTTATTTTAGTTTCAGTCACAGTATTTTGAGTAAACGAAGTCGTCGTTGCAGATGCCGATGACTGATGTGATATTGCAAAGGCCGATGACTGATGTGATGTTGCAGATGCCGCCGATGACTGATGTGAGATTATAGATGCCGATGGCTGAAGTGATGTTGCAGATGCCGATGGCTGATGTAATGTTGCAGGTGCTGATGCAACAGATTGACCCATTTGTCTATCCGAATCACTTTCACTTAATAGTACTGGTAATGAACGTTGTTCTTCATTAACTGATGACTGATCACATTCATTCATTAGTAAGCTCTCAGCTAATTCTTGGCGTTCCCTTTTTTCCTTCACTCGACGATTTTGATACCATATTTTGATGGACTTTTCAGGGACATTTAACAATATGGATAATTCAGTGCGTTTGGTACTTGAAAGATAAGGAAATCTGTTGTATTCTGATTCTAATATATTTACTTGGTCGGTCGTGAATTGGCTGCGCAACCTTTTAGCTTTTTTTAGATTGGTTTCATATTTTTGATTGATTCCATTTGTTTGGTTGAATTTATTAATTTGATTAGTTTCACTGTTATCTTCCTGTGTGTCCATCGGCACCTGTAAAATATGTAAATTATAAGATATTTGTCTGGAGCATTGATACAAACTTGCAGTATATTTTTATTTATTTAACATTTCCGAAAATAACATGGAATCTAATCTGAAATTGACGTCTGTGCTGTTTCCTCCCCCCCCCCACTGCCTATATCATAACAAGTTAACATTTAACGTCAAATTGAAGAATGATTACGTCTTATCGAAATGTTTTGCTAGCGACCAAACCCGAATCTAATGAAATGGTATAGGTCAAAATGTTTTGTTATTTTACAAAACTGTGTAATGAATACATTTTTACCTGAAAATAATAATTTGAACTAGTTAATGACTTGCGTTGTAAATATAAATCTAATTTAAAGTGTTCTATAAAATATTGGTATCAAATAGATTTCGTATATTAATGACTCACTTACCACGTGCATATGTTTCATATAATCTTGTCTCGATGGATTAAAATTATGCATTTTTAATTTGTTTCTATTTATTGCATCTGTTCCTCACAGCACCTACTCACACACTATTAAAACTAAGAAAGACCTTTAGTGGGTAAACCTTATAACAATTCAACTGCTAACTACCCTAACATCATTATAATTAACAGACATTATTAAATGAAACTGTCAACATTTTTAATGGATTTTCAACTCTAATGATTTGTAATAAAGCCTAATGTCTGTTATAGACATGCAGTTCGAGGTTACTTATTGGACGTGCGTTAATTACGTCTATGTTACAGAAGTATTTATTATCTATGATATTTAAAAATGACACTAATAATATTAACGTTTAATTATCAATTTTTCTTGCACTACATGTGTATACTACAATTGTTTTTTTCTATTGTTTAGTCTTATTTCTTTTTTATACTTTACGCCTAGATGCAGATATAAAAGTTCGTTTAATTTATATTCTAATAATTAATGTCACAGGTAACATTTTCGTATGCAAAAAAGTCGAAGCGATTTATAAAATACTATGTATGTTATTTTAATTGACCATAATTTGTTTTGTTTATTTATAAAAATTTTTAACAAAGATAATTAAAAAAATGCAAGTTATCGTTATCTTTGATTAAAACAACACGTATTTTCATTTCGAAAACTTATTATACGTAAAATTAAACTGTCAAACAACAAACCCTAAAATAATTTTTACTATACAGCATTTAAGACAAAACAATTATTTAAACGAATAACAAATATAATTTTTATAAATACAAATTAATGAAATGTAGGTGTAGATATTCTATCTGTATCATTCTCGTCTATAGTCTTTGGAATCATCTATAATTGATACCTGCATATTATTATGTCGTAGGTAAATTATGAAAACAGAGATTTTACGAAATGCCGCCAAATGTTGAAATTTCTTCTTCGTTGCGTCTTCTTACTATAAGTACCTATCTAGTGAAATGAGAAAACAGTAATACTTATAAAAGTCAGAGATTTATGTCATTTCACTAAAGTAAATCTAGTGAAATAGAGAATACGTTAAACTGTTTATGGATAAAGTCAAAAAACAAAATAAGACTATAACTGGGTCATTTTTGTTAAGAATTTGAATTACGTAACTAACTAACCTAACCTAATTAGATGTGTTGGGGTGTCCCAATAGGGTAGATGTCTAATTTTTATTATAATGGTACTGGTAGATTACTTAAAAACATTCGACACGTATTTTTTATTTTCTAACGGAAACGAATAGTTTCGAAGATATAGATATTGCATGACGTCACTTTTGAGTAAGATAAATACATAACTACATA